GATATTAGTATAGCTGTAATGTTGGCAGAGAAGAAGTTATACGTAGTGTTGTTAAGATGAATTACAGAGTGGCCAATGGTGAACGTGGATTTGAGCTTGACCTTGAAGGTTATGGTCTAAGTCAAGTAAATTTTTTAAGTGAAACATCCTATTTGGCAATAATATGGCTTATTTTGACTGAGCGATAATATAGATCTTGATTTAACTGGTCGGACAGACTTTTTAAGCCCATCCTTCTTCTCCACATGTCGATCTATGTAATATGTACAGACGGCCGAAAATCATCGCGTATTGATATAATTTCCCCATATCACCCGTTCCTAGTAGCTTAAAAACCCCCGCAACCCCGACCTTTAACCCATATTTCAGCAATATTCCCTATAACCATTTTAATATTTACAACCTTATAACTAACACCCTTCAAGTTCGCAAGGATCAATGCAGAAAATGTTCTGATTGTGTACAAACAGAAGAACATCCTAATATTGTGTTTCTTGGGTCCCCGTTCCCGTTAACAATTTGAGTCAAGCGATACGGTTTCCTGTCTTCCACTATAAAATAGTATAAACAGACTTCGGGACCTACAAAGTCTACCTGACCAGTTAAAGTAAGATATATTACCGCTCAGTCAGAAAAAAAAGCCACGTCACTACCAAATACGATATATCACTTAAAAACAATTACTTGGCCCAGGTCACGGAACGGTACGATTAAAATGGTACCTGACCTTGACCATAACCTTCAAGGACAAATCCATTATCACCATTGGCTAGTCTTTCAGAAATCCTAGCAACAGTATGTTTTACTTCTTCTCTGATAATATTATTTCAAGATTTATGGTTATTTTTCCACATCTATCAATAACCCCTACTTCGGGGTTTCTGGGCTCCGTGCAGGACAAAGGGGGAGTGTCAAAGGGTCGGCTCCATTGAGATTTTTGATCGCCATGTTGGAAATTACCTCTCGAAATTTCGACAAGTTTATCCGAAAGCCATTTTCCAACAGAAAACTGCCTGGTTCTTTCATAATAATGCTTTCTAATGATCAATTCACATTAGCGATACCATAGGGCTTCAGCCAGTATGTTGATAAGCGCGGTCGATCTGTTATCAATCTTACGTCAAAAAAGTGATATTAATATTACATTCTCAACCATTTTGATCAGTACAATTTTGTTGTACGGTCAACAGTTTATGAGATATTGAACTTCAAAGTTACAAGTAATTATATTGAGCTCATAACAGTGCTGGGTAACCCAAAATGATACAGGCTGGATTTGATTTCTTTTCATAGAAGAATAAAATTTGCTTCAAAAGGCATTTTACATTTTTTCTACAGTTTGACGGTTGTCGAAGTACATGAAACGAAAGTTGAAAATTCGTATCAAATAATTTAGGTTCCTCATGTTACAGACGCTGTCTAGGTGTAGGCTTATAACATTGTTTCCCTTAATGATAACTACGTAATCATTGTCTATAATCAAGAATATTATTACAAAATGAATTAATTTTTTACTCACTACAGATAATTATAGAAAATGTAATGTATCTGGATGCTTTGTGATGTCATCATTTCTTTCATCATGAAAATCCATGTCACTGACTTCCATCTGTCTATGAGGGATTTTGTTACTGCATAACCCCGATTACGGTTACCACGATTTTAAGGGAAGAGCCTGCGCTATTTCCACTAAAAGCGTTGCAACGGTTGCTGAGGTTATGCAGTGATAAAGTCACCAACAGACAGGCTGATGGTAGCGAGTAACTTAGATTTCTATTTTATCACAAGTCACATCATCAAAAAATATTAAATTATCAATACTAATGCGCTTCAGGTAAAAGAATCAGATCACTTTAAAATGGTATTATTCTTGATCCCGAAAAATTTTATGGAGTTATCCCCAAATAAAATAATTTTATAGGCTGATACGTGGGTAGCGCTTGCAGCACATAATCAATAAAAAGAGGCAATATAAAAATGGCGTCAAATAAGTCGACTTTATTTGCACAAGTTAGCCCTTCTGAGAAAAAAGCTACGAAAATGTATAACAAAAGATTGAACATCCTTCCTGTTACACCTGAGAGGAACTGCTGCAGGTTCATATGATCGTTGCGATGACAAATCCCGCGTGACTGACGGCAATGGCCTTTACCATGCACTTGCATGGTGCACACAGTGCGGAAGCGATTGTCGACTGTGACACACGACGCTGGGCCATCGGGGGACCACGTCGCACGAATCGACATGGATATATTTCTAACGTGTAAGGGTAAATACCCGGGGACGATTATGATGAGTGAAATATGCTAATATGTATGTTGAATTACTGGAGTTGGGGGCGTATAAATACACACAATGCCAAAAATTGAGACATATTCTCCCCCATCCCCTGCAACTATTAGTCGCCAATTATCAACCCCTTCAAAAATTTTTCCGAAAATGATCAGGATCGTCTGAAACGTCCAAAAACGAAGTTTGGGTGATTTCTTTGCTATTTTTTTTTTCGTTTTTTGCCGCCGCCGCTGAACCGATTTTCATCCTCGGCATAGTAGTAACTTTTTATGAAAATTTCATCAAAATCCGAGCGGTACTTCTCAAGTTACAGGCGGTTACAAAATTAGTGGACAGACCGACAGATAGACAGTCCGACGGAAATGAATGACATGGTGTTTTATTACTTACATGTCAAGAAACATAATATCTCATTTTCGAAATTTTCCGCGATTACAATAGTTCCTCGCCAATAGGCGTGGGAAGTAAAATCTTCCGTCCGTAAAAACAAAATGGAGTCAAGTAGATTAACTCTATATTTCCTATGCCTTCGTTGGAGGTTTCAAAGAAAAGGGATGAATCAAGTCGTTTCAAAAAGTGAAATCGAAGCTTGATAAGTATCGAGTCAACCATCTACTTGACGGAATATTCAGAGAACCATCATAGATAGAGTAACACAAATTAAAGATTAGACGAAATGGATGGTACATTTAAGGAACATCATTTACAAAAGCATCGTAGAACGCTAAAGTGCTACGTTTTAGTAATATTCAAGTATTTCTAAAATATATAAATATTCTCGTGCAGCGGTGTGTCAGTGACAGCACCACGGCAGATCAGTTTAAGATACGCTTCTATGAAAAGTTATAGGCTGAGTTTATTACAATTTGTCGAAATTTGTAATAAAATACAGGCGTAGATACTAGATAAAAACGCGTAAAAAAACACTACGAATGTGAAAAGTTAAATGGTTTCAAATCCAACGATATAAATATCCATGTCAATTTATGATTTTGATGAAGTGTTTTCTTGTACATGTTTTATTGAAATTTCTGCCATATCTCTGTGCATTTCAAAATTCAACACATTTCAACTGGATTGCCTAAAGAAATTTGTATTTTACCGAAAGAATGGATTTTCAAAAAAAGCTTGGTATCTTCTTCTTGGAATCACCCAAGAACTCATTCCTTGAAGTCTGGCCAGATACTTCAATTACACCCTTTATATTTTTACACATTGTTTAACATGTTGTATTATGGCACAGTCAATAAATATCCTGATAATTAATTGATAATTCAAAGTGTTAAGACAACAGGTGTCAAAAATTATCAAACATATACTAAGTGACATATAAATCCGAACACCCAGTTTAAATGGTTTTATTTTAAAAAAGTTGGTGAATGTATTTATCTTACTGTAAATAACAAGTGAAAAAATTTTCAGCCTTATCAGTTGGACATTCCGGTTTTTATACTGTTTTTTTTTAATTCACTAACGCTCTAAAAATGAATATTTCAGCCGCAGTAAAGAATCAACGTTGGCGGATTTTGGTTCTTGACATCCTTTACGATTGGTTACGATACCTAGAGTACGGAGACCTGTACGATTTCGTCAACTTAGTGAGTTTGATAGGGGCCGTATAGTGGGACTTCGGGAAGCTGGACTTTCTTTTCGGGCAATTGCAGTTAGAGTGCAAAGAAGTGTAGACACTGTGGTTAGGTGTTGTCAGGCATGGCTTCGAGAAGGCCGTACGCAAAGAGCAAGGGGCACTGGACGCCGCCGTAGAACAACAGACCGTGAAGATCGCCGCCTAAGATTATTGGCCTTAAGCGACCATTTCTCCACTACCAGGTCCATTGCAAATGAATGGTTTGCAGAACACGGAAGACCTATTGGCATGCGAAGTGTTTACCGACCAATGAGAAGTTTTGGCTTGTTTTCATACCGGCCACACTGGGTCCCCCCTTTAACGCGAGAACACCGACGTAATCGCCTTGAGTGGTGCAGACAACGGTCTGGGATCAGGAATGGAACAGTATTGTCTTTAGTGACGAGTCTCGATTTTGTTTAGGCATGCACGATGGTCGTGCCAGGGTTAGAAGGCGACGTGGTGAAAGGAGGAATCCACAGTTTTTTGTTGAAAGACATGTTCATCACACTTTTGGAGTTATGGTTTGGGGTGCTATAGCTTATGGTTCCAGGTCACCTTTAATCAGCGTTATATCCACGAAGTTCTAGAACCCCATCTTTTACCCTATCTTGACACCCTGGCAGATCCAAGTTTCAAAAAAGATAATGCCCGACCACATGTTGCAAGCGTCACAATAGACTTCTTTCAACATAATGGTGTCACATTGTTACCATGGCCACCAAGATCTCCCGACTTATCCCCAATTGAGCACGTGTGGGATATGATGGGTAGCACATCAGGGTGCATCCACACATTATTAAAGGTCAAAGGGCTTTAAAGCAGTGCAATCATTTTGAAATTTTTATCATTTACTTATTATGCTTCATTAAGTACTTATACAAAATTTTATTAAAATAAAACCATTTAAACTGGGTGTTCGGATTTATATGTCACTTAGTATATTATGTGTGGTTTTGTAAGAATAGTTTCTTGTTTTTTTATAGATTCGATAACTCTACTCTTTATTCGCAAAAGAATATGTTTTTTGCCGCCCGGTCGGAACCAGAGCGCGATTGTCTCTACAAACGGAGCAATTTACCTTTTCTTATAGTAGTAAGCTAGCAAGATCAATGAGAATCCATAGATGCACATATTATTTCCACTGGCATAATGACAACACGGAAACTTTAACTTTGCTTACTAGACATCAAGCAAAAATACGTACTTTTTCGACAGGCGCCAGAAAAAAAAATTGTTAATAGCGTAGTGCAGTTGATATGTAAAATTATTAATTCTCAAATTTCTTATACATGACCAATAAACAAAGAACCTGCAGCACCTGAAGTCGGAAATTGTTTAATAGTCTATATTAACGGTTTAAAATTAAAGGAACTAACACCAGGAGACACAAAGAACATGTAAAGTATTTTTAATATATGTACTTCGAAAAAGCACACCGTGGCAATAGAAATTAGTCAAACGGCTGGTTACTGATGATAAAATCCATTCAGCCGCCGAGTTCCTGATATAACTGGAGGATTAAGTTTGTCCATGAAACTAGCTCTTAACTTTAATTTCTGTAAAACGATTATAATCCTAACAATAATTTATAATGAAAGTATCCTTATAACGTATATTCATTTTTTGGAGAAAAGAAAGAACAGGAAAATCTATATTATATTTGAAACCAGGACTGCCTTACATAGCTCAGCTGTCCAGTCACAGAACTGTCCAGTGCTACTAAATCAAATTGTTCAACGAAAAGTCGTGAGGCTGAAATCACGGTAGATTTACAAAATAAACGTTAGATTGGACGTATTACACTCCATTTAGACTCTTTTAATTGTCTTAAAAAATAAATGTTATTAGGTTCAACTACAATGTGTTAAAATAACAAACATTTATATGATAATACATATTATTCATGTTCACTGTTATTAGCTTGACAGCACTACAAATTTATCAACAAATAGTAGAGAAAAAACGAATGTTAGAGATGGAGCTGTGAGGATGCGTTCGCAAATATTCACAAGAGTTAATTAGGGTGGTTCAACGCCACGAGGAATATGTTAATCAGTGCATAATCACAGTATTCACAACGAAACTTGTCTTAATTTGTTACAAGCATGAAAGAAATATGCGGTTTTTGTATGTAGATCAAGTTCGATAGTTCGATCTCCGATCTGAGTTGATTTCAAGTTTGTGGTGAATGTTAGATATATAAATCAGACTCGAAACACAAAACAATTACAGGGACACTTCATAAACACTGTCATTAAAAAGTAAGGTTATGGGGGTCGTCGCGTTATGGGCTGTCTCAGTGGGATACAAAGATGTGCATTGAACAACTGCACTGTCTATATACCAATACTGCCTGTATTCCTTTCAAATGTACTGGTTTATCGTGTCATATAATAAAGATATATATTTTTATCGTTTCCGCAAAACCAGGTGATTTATAAATAATTTCTTGATTTAATATGGGGATTAGAGGCACTTCTTACAAAAATCGTATATTTTTTTGCTTGTTTAACAGATATTTTGGAAGAAATCTAAATGATCCGTTACTACAAAGACGCCTTCTCATTGGTCTATTATGATCCGGATCGAGATTTTAAATCCCGCGGTTCAATAGTAAGATCGGGCCTAAATGATACGGTGTACTTTCAAATTATTTTAAAAAATCCACACAATCTGGTTGATTCAAGTGACTCCGAATGCATTCGGTGCTGAGCCGTGTGTATCTGCCGGCATCCAGCAGCGACAATGCTGGGAACAAATCGATATCGCATCCAGGAAGCGGGGGTGTAGAGGGAGCATCCGACGAGCATCTAGACTGCTGTTCATTTATTTACGCTACCTGGAGCATCCCGATGGTGATGTGTCAGGAAGCACATTGCTGCGGCACGCATTCGATTCACTTTGAGTGAAATCAATAATAAAGTCTGCGGAGTATTTGAGTTAGCAAAGTTTGTCAAGATGAAAACTGAAGATGCCACTTTCGACTCCATGTTATATGTATACGGCGTCCCAGTATTCCATGAATACAGAAGTACCACGTAGTTTCACTCAAAAGAAGTCTGATAGTACCTTTATGCAAAAGTGCTTCGATTGTCCGTTAGTAGGAGTCAAATTTTTCTTTTTAAAAAACATATTTTGTCATGTGTTTTGGTAGACGTCCTAATATTTGACTTTTACAAAAAAAACCGAAAGGGTTCAAGAAGCCATCTCGCATAGTATTGTTGTTTTTACATAATTAGTAATAAAACATTATGAATAAATAATTCCCATAAAAAAGTTTTCCCATATTCTTTGTTTGCTCCAGGGATATGCAATTAGGAGGACTTTTTTTCTCGAAAACTAAGCAAGAAGGTTTTGGAATTCAAAGTACTTCAGGAGAGAGTAGGAAAAAACCGAATTTTCCCAAAATCGTTTCAATTTTTTCTTTACTTTATTTGTAGTTGGATTCCAAAATAAATTGCACGTTAATGTTGCCACTTTTCCTCCTCTGCAAGATGGCATAATTTGAATTTTAACATGACCTTGTCCTCCAGGATCAACTTTATTTTTTCGTACAGGTGCCGTAGTGGATTTGCGCAGATGAATAAGTTTTTTATTGTGATTTCAAAAATGAATAATTTGTTATACATTGGCATTGACAAGCCTTAGTTATTTAAGAAAAACAGACGTTCCTATGTAGGCCTTGAAATTATCAGATTTCATTTGTTCCATATTCCAGAGCAGACCTCAAATTGAATATAATAATAATAATAATATGCCTTTATTTTACCTGGCGGGTGTATCAGCTAATAGCTGCTTTTGGTACCAACCAGGGCAACAGAGTTTGAAAGAAGAAATTCTGCTTCTTTTTAAATAACTGAGCTATTGGCAATTTCAATGTATGACGTAATATACATTTTTCGATTCAGAATTAAAAATAATATCCTTATTTGGAGCAAATTGAAAGTAAAATTTTATTTCTAAAAAAATCCTACTTTAAATAATGAAAAACATAAATCTAGTTTTTCTGCTAATACTAAATTAAAATATATAACAAAAAAATATCTCTGAAACCATTTATAAACTGTATTTATTGCGTGCCCATTTCTACGGAGTATTTTTCAGGCAATTCAGGCATGTAAGTTTGCCATGATTTACACAGATATATATTTTGCAAATCGCACAAGTGTGATAAGATTTGTTACCAGTTCTCGCACATAATTTACATCTCTTCCTTTTTCTTGAATCTTGTTCTGCTTGCTCCTCTTCAGCAGCAGCAGGTTCACCTTCCTGGAGAATTTCTATAATGTTGGTCCTGATAAACTTGGTAAGATTTGCAATTTGAGCCAAGTTGTTCTCATCAAGCGCTGATCTGTCAAAACTATTGACCCCAACCACATCCTGAAGATGAAAAAAGGCTGAAAGGGGCCATCTGTTGGTTTTCCTGGCTGTTGAGTATGTGCCACACATCTCATCTACTACATCAACCCCACCCTTTGTGCAATTGTAAAATGTGATAATCTCTGGTTTTCGGGCGGCGCCACTATCAGGATCAATAATTGTTTTACCATGGTGCATAGTCGATAACAGAACAACAAACTTGCCCTTTTTTGGTACATATGATACCAGCGTTGTACTATTTTTTCCAAAACCAAAAACAGACGAGCTTACCTCACGATCTTTGCTTTTTATAAAGCAAGGAGGGAGCTGAGGTTTATTTTTTCTGATGGTTCCTACAGTTGTCAAGTTATGTTGCTGCAACAGGTGGTGACTAAGTGGAACACTGGTAAACCAATTATCATGAGTAACATTTCGTCCACTTCCGCTTATTGGCGTTATTAGTCTCTTGACAACTTCATCAGGGGCCTAGTCTTATTTGGTGAGGTCCTGGGGGTTGTTTACCCAAATAAAGCTCCATATTCAGCACATAAAAAGTTCGAGCATCAACAAGCGAAAAAACTTTTAAACCATATTTCGCTGGTTTATTTCGCATATATTGGCGAAACGCCCTCGGAAACCCCATAACATTTCGTCTATAGTAGTATATTCAGCCACTGAAAATTTTTTTCTGCATTTTAAAACAATATAATCAAACACTTCTCGTAGTGGGGATAATTTATCTACTGCAATTCTAGCTGCACGATCCCTTTTGTCATCGAATCGAAGAGCTCTAAGTAAAAATCTAAATCGCTGTTGGGACATCACGCATCTAAAAATTTGAACACCAGTTCCATCGTCACTCCATAATTCATCGGTGTGCAAATGAGATGATTTCAATACACCTGCATAGTACAAAAGTCCAAATAGAGCTTTTATCTCTTCCAAATTTGTGTTTTAGCGTCTCTTTCACGTTTGTATTTATCTCTTATAATACGAATATAAATATTTGTATATTCAACAATTTTTAGCAACAATTCATCAGCAAAAAAACACTGCCAAGCTTTCAGTGGCGTATCAGCTTGTCTAGCAGCGCCTTTGGTACCTGGTAAATGTGTAACAATATTTTGACGTCTCGTCCGAATTGACTGTGTTGGCTCAGCCTTCTTCCACTTAGTTTTGTCTTTGCCGTTATAAGATCCTCGATAGAGCAATGGAATGTCGTCTTCAGAAGTAGAACTATCACTTGCAGGATCATCCCCACTTTCATCATCACTCTGCTCAGTATCGGTATCTCTTTCGCCATCATCTCTAATCTCTTCTTCCGGATTTACATTGCTTCCAAGGTCACTCTCGTCCCCTCCCAGTTCTTCCTCGGTATCCACACCATAGAAATTTTTACATGGAATAGGATGAAAATTGCTTGGTCCCGGCATATCCATTTCCAAATTCTAATTAGAACAGCTAAGACAAAAATATTAAATGATATTATCGCTGCCAAAACAGTAGAAACTGTAGAAAGCTTGACGAAATAAGTAAAGGCATATTTACACGCACAGTTTTTCCTAATGTTTTATTTGTGTAGGAAATAACGTATGAGTAGCATAGGAATAGAAAATCTGCTACAGTTTTTTCATTCATAAACCACGCTATCACTTTGTTTTTACGTTCTAAACTGCACAAGTAAACTGGCGCAAAAAACTGTGTGTAAACATCCTTTAGTGCTTGAAATATTTACCTAAACCTTACTAAAAAAAATTGCAAAAATGGAATTATTATATTTATTTACACACCAAAATGCCGGTAATAAACAATAGAACCAAAAATAGTCGCAAAATAATATGACACCGAAAACAGTCGTTGCGTGTCACGGTGACCCGCAAGAGCTCCGTTCAAGTAGACAGCTCAATGTAAACAAAGCAACATGTACTGAGTTTTGTAGATAAGTAGTTCATAGGAAGGTACCTAAGAGGCGAGCGATGTATCTTAACTAATATGGGAGAGGTAGGGCGTAGAAAATATGTGCGGGTCAGAGTGACCAGCAGCTACCGCTGTAGGGTTAAGCATATTTCTGATTTCATGGCAGATATAGGGATAATATATATGTGACATGTGTCTAACTGGTGCGTAGTATCGCTGAGATCAGAAGCTTCTTAATAATAGAGGATCTTTCACTGACACCAGATATGCAACAATTTATAACCACTAGCCGGATACTGCTTCAAACCTACAATATTCATCCCCTCCATTTGTATACTTTTCGTGTTATTTTTTTATCTACCCTATGCCATAGAAATATTGCCATGTTTTTTTAACTCCGTATTTTTTGGTTTACTGATTTTTCTGAGGCATATGGGGTATTATGTCGGTCGATATTATCGATATGGCGATATTCACATTGGTATCAGTACATCTTTGTTTGATGGTACTCTGTAATAAATTATGAGTAGATCGCCTACCATATTTACCGTGTTTTACAGTTCAACGATTTTGCGGAACTCTTCCTCAGTCTGCAGGTATATTTATAGCATCTCGTCTCCGAACAGCAAAGGAAACGTGATGCAGGCTGAACACCAGACGAGAGGTACGCGACTATGCCAAGCGCCGACGAAATGACTCATGCGACCAGATGAACCAGGACCAAGATGTTGTTGATAACAAAGGTAAATTAATTAGATAGACATTTGAGAAAACCTCGTCATGTTTGTTGGATGCTCATGAATCAGGAGGTTGTCGGGCCGTGACCCGGTGTAATTTTGTTTAAGCAATTGTTTAAACAAATTAAAATATCGTTTTTACTTCCTACGCCTACTGGCGGAGAAACATTGTGATCGCGAAAATGGCGAAAACCGCAGATCGATATATTAATTCGTTATGGAGATATAATGAAAAATATGCTTAAATTACAATTTTCAAGTACTACTGGATAACATGAAAAATTCAAGCTATGAGTAGTTATGTAAAATGCTTCAATATGTCACGATATCAAGATATTTTACTTGGAAATTTATTTTTATGCTTGTTATAATTGATAGGGGTCGTAAGTGTCGCCTGATAAATCGAAAAATATGTACAGGGTCTGTCAGAAAGACCGCATGTTTTTCGAATGGGTACTACATAGGGTGGGCTGGTCCCGTGGCAGGAATGGCTCTAGGTTAAGACGTTGCTGATATATAGTCGGCGTCCTTTGTTATTGGGTCACTCGGTACATAAAACATTTCCTTTTCCTTCTCTTCTTATTTCCTTTCTTTCTTTCTCTCTCTGCCATTTCCTCTACAGCTTCTCTGGTTTCTCACAACTACTCTCCATCAACTATGACAGAGGTCCTCCGGACTGCTCTGAGAAGTAACGACGATTAGTAGATGTGCCAAAACTCACCCGCCTATAGATGCATGTAGACTGTAGATTATGTCAGTCAAAGCTCAACACGCTCGTTTTGCGTTTTTGCACTTCCGTCTAGACTCTTGACTGAGTCGGAGCCGGTTACGGGAAGCCAGGTATAACGAATGCGGATACGAAAATCGAAAATTAAACTACGAGCGAGAAAAAGTTGGGCTGCTTGTCGAGTTTGCGGGAGAAGGAAGTTGAGTTTTGTCGGGCCGCAAACGGAAGTATACTCGGCACATAGTGAACGGTTATTGAAATTCTCGTATGTAGGGTGATACTGGGGTGCCCTACCATGGAACTCAGGAAAGCCGAATATACTTTGATTTTTAGTAGAATAATCTCAGAAAATGTAAGGGATATGAAATCGCTTAAGCGGGGGCAAAGTTGCGTATTTAGATAATTAACAAAATGCCACTTGTAAGGTTTCGCAATTCAAAGTACTTTCGGAGAGAGACAAAGAAAACTGAATTTTCCTAAAATCGTTTTAATGTTTTCCTGATTTTACTTTTTCTCCTCAGCATAATTATAATTTCAATACGTTTAGTCTTTTGTCCTCCAGCATCAACTTTATTTTTTCTTATAGAAGCCATATTGGGTTTTTGCACAGATTAGGTTTCAATTCTAATTCCAAAAAAAGCAGAATTTCCTAGGTAGGCCTTGAAACTATCAGATAGTCATTTGTTTGACATAACAGATTCATCCCAAAATCACTTCTATTTTTTCCTGGCCTTATTTAAGATGTTACTCCAAAATAAATTTCATTGCTACTTTTTCTCCTATGCAAGACGCATAATTCGAATTTTAATGACGTTTCGTCTCTTGTCTTCCAGCATTAACTTTATTTTTTGTTATGGTCGCCATATTGGATTTTTGCGCAGATTAATAGAGTTTTTAATTCTGATTTCAAAAATGTATAATATACAAGAAGTCCTTGAATCAGTTTTCATTTGTTTCGTATACCAGACCAGACCTGAAATTAAACATAGCAACAGTTTCTATGACTGAGAAGAGAAATAAATCGAGCAATGAGCAATGTACAGAAAATAGTCAGGCTTTGTCTACAAAATAGCGAGCAACATTTTGAACATCTGCTATGATTTATCTCAGCTTATCTAAGATTATTATTGTTATTACCATCAATAAAATTTTCATTATATATTCATGTTTCACCGTAGGTTCCTTATAATTTGCTTACAGTTTTCATCCAACAACAAACTTGTGGCCAACTAACAAAATACATAACTGAATTTAGGACTAAAAAGTCCATTTAAATGTACCAATGAGAAAAAACAAAGCTGGTGATGGAAGTCGAAAGAAGAAATGGTGAATTGAAAATTTGACTACGCCATCTCGTAAAATAAATAACAATTTACTTTGGAATCCCATGTCAAATAGTCAGGAAAGAATAAAGCTAATTTTGGGATAAATCTGTCTGGCCAAACAAATGACTATCTGATAATTTCAAGGCCTACCTAGGAATTTCTGATTTTTTTAAATTACTAAACATCACTGTAATGACTTAACCAAGAGCAAAGGTCCTACGGGCCGCTCTGACAGACAACGACGAATAGAGAGATCAATGTAATGACGTATTATACATTTTTGGAATTAGAATTAAAAACTCTATTCATCTGTGCAAAAATCCCAATATGGCGTCTATAAGAAAAAATAAAGTTGATGCTGGAGGACAATAGGCAAGACGTCGTAGTAGAATTCTAATTATGACATCTCCTAGAAGACAAAAAGTTGTAATGTTGTGCAATTTATTTTGGAATCCCACTACAAATAAAGTCGGGAAAAAATAAATCCGCAACTTTGCAACGATTTAAGTGACTTATATCTTGCGGTTTCCGAGAGCCCAATGGTGAGGATCGAATTTGAAACACCCTGTAAAGTCCATATACCTTTTATGCGCTATTTAATTTTGATTTTATAAACTTCTCGATAACTTTATTTGTACTTCCTATACCGAAACTGATAAGGAAGTATGATAATCGCGAAAACTTTCTAAAAGAGACTCGAAAACCATGTCACTCATTTCCGTCGGTCTGTCTGTTGGTCTGTCCACTAATTTTATAACCGTCTATAACTTGATAAGTACAGCTGGGATTCTAATGAAATTTTCACACAATGTTACTATACTATGTCAAGAATGAAAAAGCTATTTTGATGAACAGCTGTTTCAAAGTTAATGGGCTTAATTTTTACATTACTTTTGTGATTTTTAACTCCTGATGCAAAAGCTCATAAACTGATGAGCCGATTTGAATGCTGTTTCTTCTACTCTAGGTAGGTACTTCAATTTCATCAATATCGGGGTAATAATTAATCATGCTTTGATAATAAAAGGTATCAATACGAGATTCACTTGACTAACGTCTGGCGAATAACTTGTCATATGTGGAAACATGGATATTTTTGGAATGAACGATTCTCCTTGAACATAAATGCTCTCGCCATTACTGATAACGCAGTAACACATATACCGATTGAATTTTTGAATTTCAATCAGTATCAAAGCACCGATAGCCAGTGGAGGGAAAATGTCTGTTTTTATTTATATTACCCAGCTCTACGGTCATATAAATGTACCAACACAGAGAGAGAATCCGATTCTGAAATTGCTTTCGGTTTCCGATAACATGGCTTTTATTGGGTATATTGGGGGATTCGAATTGCAGGGGTGTCTTATTTCATTAATGTCTCAGACTGGTCACTTTACGATTTACTGTATCTTTTCATGATCAATGGTAATATTCAATTGGGTAAACACACTGAACAGAGATCGTGTTACACTGGTGGTTAATGAATTAAGCAGGGTGAGTCATCCGGTTAATAAAGGACTCGCAGAGAAAATTATTTTATTCTCTGATAAAGGATTCGGACATGTCTTCCTCACTTCCCATTCCAAAACTGACAAGATATCATGATTCATGTTATATGACATGTACATCACGAAACACTATGTCCTTCATTTCCGTCGGTCTGTCCGCTAATTTTTATAACACCATAAGGAGCCAGTGCATAGGCCGCTTAAGCGGGCCCTTATGCACCT